TCTTGAGCCTCAGGAAGTGCAGTTGCGACGAGAGCATTTGCCGCTGCACTTCCCTTCTCAGCTCGAACCTCAGCAAGTGCACTTGCAGCGATAAACTTTGCTACTCAACTTGCCTTCTCAGTTCTACTTGGCCACTACATGCATTCTCAAGACTCCATTAGTCTGCTATCGACAATGTTCGTACTCACCGCAGTGAAGCCTTCACCCTTAGCCACCTAACCACAAACTCCCCAGCTTCTCCGGGCGAAGGCCACAGCCAAGCCTGCTATCAGCCTTGCTGTTCCTTAGGACCAAGCCCAAGGAGCTTCCTTAGTCCTGCCTGTGCGACTAAGGCAGGTCTATGACCTGGATAATGGAAAGGGAGTCCCTTATGCTGGGGCTACCCTGCTCCCATCTTCGCGGGATCGTCGCGGTAAACTGGTACCCTGGGCCTGCTATCAACTCTAATCAATAAGTCTTGGGGCCTGCTATCAGCCCTTGGCTAGTAATGCCTTGAGGCCTGCTATCAGCGCCAGGCATTACCCTCTCCTTGCAGAGGGGAAGCTTTTCCCAGAGGCTACTATCACCTTGGCAGGATGTTCCCTCCGCAAGTTGGTTGCGGCGGCAGTAGTTGTTGCGGTAGTCATTTCCCGTGGCAAGTTCAAATGGCATAACCGACAATATTGGAGATGGCGGCGCCGACAAAGTGCCTCTACAACTTGGGCGCCTCTGCAACTTAGTTGCTTCGGTTCTCTTCTTCCCTCAGCAACTCCAGGTGGCAACGGAACCGAGAATACTTGGAATGGCGGCGCTAAGACAAAGTGCCTCCGCAACTTGGTCGCCGCAACTGTCGCCTCTGCAATTCCCTCATCAACTTTGGATGGCGGCAGAGCCGAAGATATTGGGAATGGCGACGTTGAGGCAAAGTACCTCGGCAACTTCCCTGCTGGATGTATTCCCTCTGCAACTTGATTGTCGCATGTGTTCCCGCTGCAACTTGACTTGGTCATTTTCCTTCGTAGAGTCTGTTTGGACCCTTGGCGGGTCGGACATACTCCGGCCCATTGTCGGCCCACTTCCCTTGGACTTTAAGCCCATGCTCCTTTTTCATTCCTGGTCGCCTCTTTGGGACAACCTCAGTACTTAGGCCCTTACTTAATTTGGGGTTTCATTTCTGACCCTCTAAAAAAACAGAACGTAGTGGCTAGAAGTAGTGCTGAAGCTGAATTTAGATCAATGGCTCATGGAATTTGTAAAGCTTTGTGGATCGAGAGATTATTGGAAGACTTAAAAATTCCAAGAACATCACTAATGGAAGTTTACTGTAACAAGAAGGCAGCAAATGCAATTGCTCATAATCTTGTTCTTCACAACAGAACTAAGCATGTGGAAGTCGGCAAGCACTTTATCAACGAAAAGATTGAGAACGAATTGATCTACATGTCTTATATACCCACTGTGGAGCAGATTGCAGATGTTCTTACAAAGGGACTACACAAGAGGCAGTTCGACCACGGAAGACATATTCAAGCCAACTTGAGGGGAGTGTTGGAAATGGGAAGAAAATAATTCTGCCAGGATATGGCTGAATTCTTTAGGATATCACAGCTGTAAATATCTAGATTTAGTCAATACTATAGAATAGGAAAGTTTATATTTAGAATTAGAATTAGTAACTAAATAGTAGCTAATCAGTCCTCAGAATCAGTAGCCAATCAATCCCTTATTTTATGCCATGTATCTCCTATTAATAGAGGTGCTGTGTGTACATTGTTTAAATATGAGAATAAGAAATATTATTCTTTCTAGCTTTCATTCAAAATAATAAAATCCAGTTTTCCAACTAGTACCAAGCATGTAGATTTTGAATTTCTGAACAAATTTAATTAAGGCATTTCAAAATGGCCTATTTGACTGATCAATAAATTAATGGAAGGAAAATAACACGGTGCAGCCGTTAATAGAGTAAGTAGAACTTCAATTGGCGAACAATAATGCAAGACCCCAAATGTTCTAGCAAACACTCACATGGGTGTTGGTCCCACACCCATGTGAGTGGTAGATTTTTTGGTAAATTTTTGCGTATCCCTAGGCATTTTGCTCATTGGTGAAATATGGCAAGAGATGAAAACCATAAAAGAAAGACACGAAAAGGAGCATAATGTAACTACTAGGGAATCCTGGAAAACAAACTCACTTGGTAAGTCAACGAGAGATGGAAATAAGCTGAACAAATGATCCAAGAGACATCGATGCTGGAAGCACACTTAGAAACGATTTTTCTGATCAGCATCAAAAAAGAAAACAGAAAAAAAATATATGTATGAAAGTCGGTAATGCCCTTCACTACAGATTATGTCCACAGTATCTCTGAAAGCATTCTTTTAGATCCTCCTTTTTGAAATTAAACATACGTGTTTAGTTGTCAAAATTTCCATTAAGCTCAATTAGTTTCAATACGAAATTACTATACCATATTTTGTTCCAACAAGGTTAGGAAGGCGCATAATAACTTTAAACATACAAAATAAGGTGTGGCATCACATAAGCAACGAAATTTATTTCTGAAGTAGCATTGACAAGACAAAAATAAAATAAAACTACAATTATGAATACCAATATATATGAAGGGTCTTGCTAAAAAGTGCCCTGGGACACGAAAAGTAGACCAAAAAATAAATTTGAAAACACAAGACACTTCTTATTTAAATGCAATGCAGTTTTTATTGAAATTAACGCACTTCTTTTAACTGTTTGACCTATTTTCAAGACACTTCCTTATTTCAAACCCAATATTCAGCACTTTTAACATTTGTCATATACAAATATCAAGTTATAAGGACACAACAATTGCACGAATCAGAGTGTATTAGAGATAAAAAAATTGGTCACAAATTTATCATTTTTAATGATGAATTTGTTTTTATCTCTATTGGTAGCTTCTTTGACAAAAAAATTTCGTCTTCGTTTATATTAAGCGTGACAAAATTATTTCGTCTCTATTTCATATATTTATGACAATATTTTTGTCTCTAATTTCTTCCTTTAATGACAAAATATTTTGTCGCTAATTACTTACAAGTATGTTCCCAACAGAGCGTATTGGAGACAAAAAAAATCGTCACAAATTTATCATTTTCAATGACGAAATTGTTTTTTCGTCTCTACGACCCTTTAGCGACGAGGCTTTGGCGACAAAACGGGTGACGAAAAATTTTCGTCGTAATTAGTTTGGGTGACGAAATATATATATTTTGGGACAAATTTGTTTCGTCTTTAAATCCCAAATTTGTTGTAGTGAATTTGGACTATAGTTTTAGGTTTCTAAACTTTGAATTTAAGGGACAGAAATATAAATGGACAAAATTAATCTTACCTCTTGTGATTTGAGGCCATATCATTTTGTCCCTTATTGTTCAAATATAACTAGAAAGTTTTCATGTGATTTTAGACCAAAGTGCAACTGTTAATTCCATTAACTACAGATGTGAAATCACTGTATTACCTTCAAACCCGTTTTTTTTTTTTTTGGTTATTTTTTCTTTCTCATTTCTCATATACATAATTTATAATTTCTAACATTTAACTTAATTAAATCACAGTTAATCATAAAGTACGGGTCTTTGACAATTTTTTTTTTTTTTTTCAAGTTCCTTGAGAGCCTCAAACAACAGTCTAAGTGGCTTAATAGTTGAATCACAATAGCAACCCAAGGTTTTTGGAAGCCTTAAACTAAATATCAAAATGAGACCATATCTAATTAAGCTTTTGAAAGGTTGGGCCTTCGACAATAATTTTTTTTTAAAAAAAATATCCTTGTGGAGTTAGGCAACCATATAAGTTCTAATAGTTTAGTCACCTCTACAAACCATTAAGAATTTAGAGTTAAGAGACAAAATAACAATTCTAATTATTGTGCTAAATGCTTCATGTGCATCAACTCTATTATCTACAACAAATGTTAAATCAGGAGAGTGTATCTGCAGCTCAAAATAAGCCTTAAATGCATTGCTTGGTAAGGGAAAGTACGCCCCTATGAAAAAAATAAATGAATAAATAAATAAAATAAAATAAAAAATCACTAGCAGCAGCTATGTAAATGTAAATAAATATGTTGGAGATGTTTATATATGTTGGAGATGGTATTTTTATTCCAGCACAGCCGGGGTTTTGGCCGACCGATCATCATGTGTGCCTGCCGTTGCTGCTGCTAAATTGCTAAAGAGCTACTGCAGTGTTGTTGCTGGTTTGTTCAAATCCACACTGGGTTTGTTCCAAAACCCATGGGTGGTTTTGTTTAAACCATGGGCTGGGTTTGGTGAAAACTATGAACTGACTTGCCCCAAACTATGGGCTGGTTTTCTTGTCCTCGTAGTGTTGATTAGAACTTCATTTAAAATTTATTTATTCAATGTTGTACCCATTTAGCCTAACTCTGGACTTATTTAAATCCATTTAGTAGATTAGTAACTAAGAGTGTTTCCATTTTTGAAGGTGCTTTGCATTTTAGGCATGTAATGAACGTCATTGTAACATCTAATTTTTTGGTATAAAATATATAACTTACCTACCAAAAAAAAAATGTAAATACATAAAGGATTTAAAATTTTTGCAGAGTTCATAAGGAAAAAGAATGGTGAAGTTCCTGGAAAACTTGAAAAAAAAGATGAGCCACAAAACCTGTCCATTACCAATTTTTCTGTAACAAGTGAACTCTTATGCATTTGACAGAACAAGGACGCATAGTCAACTATGTTTCAACAACCATCCGAATGACCAAGCCTGCTCTAAAAGGAGAACTTGATTAGTTATTTATTCGCCAAAATCATCTAAATTCAAATAGTACACTCCGTATTCCTAACCATCTTTCAGCCACGATATGATGACAAAGCCATTCTCAAGTTTAGTTTCAGTCGTGATCTAGATGCCTATATCGTTTTCTAATACATGGGGTAGCCAAAAAATTAACTTTCTATACAAAATATGGACATAACCGACAACTAAATAACCCAATAGACCCATAAATATCGCCAATCTGGCAGATCTAAAGCTTTTATTCAGACAAGTGAATACACAAACATAATCCAAAAGATCCATTATATTGTTTGCAAATTGCAATGTTTTATTCAGGATGTTGCTATCTAATGTTAAGAAGGGCCTAAATAGCTGAATTTTCCATACCTTTATGTAGACAGAACCAATCCAACAAATTCCAACTAACATACAAGAGAGAGAACCCAAAATACCCATAAATACATCCAATGATGATAAATTGTGATAAAGCTCTTATTCAAACAATAACAAACATTTAAAAAAAAAAAAAAAAAAAAAAAAAGCCTTAGAATTGACTTACTGTGGCAACTTCTCCGATCGGAAAATTGCAAACTTTGAAGCCTCTGAGTAAGAATAATGAATCCCATTATCCTTGAGAAACTCCTCAATCAAATTCTTGACCTTGTCGGGGTCTGCACTCTCGCATTCGGTCTCATAACAAGTACCAAAATCATACATTGTCTGATCGACCTCCAATTTCAATCCATTCCAGTCATAAACTCCCCTAACATTCCTAAACCCACCCAAACACACAAACCCTCCTCCTCCTCCTCCACCAACAACCCCAAACTCATCTCTCACCCTCTTCATAATCCTCAAATCCACCGAAGCAAGCTTGGAGGGGTCCGCCACGCAGTCGCGGCCGAGCAGGGGGTTCATCTCCTCCTCTTCCCCCTCGACACGGCTCACGCCGTCGACCAGCACAGATTTGGCTTTGAGACAGACGACGCACTTGGCATCATGGTCATAGAAGCGGAGGCGGAGGACGGCGCCGCGAGAGGAGAGCTCGGAGGCGGCGCCGTCGAAGAAGGTGTTGTATTGGTGGTGGGTCTGGCGGTGGAAGGGTGAGAGGATAGAGACGAGATTCTGGTGGGCGACGGAGACAGCCAGACGAGGCTTCACTTCCACCTCCATTGATTTCTAAACTTACTAGGGTTAGGGTTAGGAGGAGAGGCCGATTCGGTGGGATTTGGAAGAGGGGTCTTTCAAGGACCGGTCAAAGTGTTGGAGGAGAGTGGCCGCGCCGGTACCGGTGGCGGATGCGGCGGTGGAGCGCCTGCGGGCTTCTTCGATTTCTTCTTTGTCTTCAACTTTAACTTCGATTTTGGTGGGCTTTCTTCTCAACATCTCTCTCTCTCTCCCCCCCTCAATTCTTGAGTTTTCTCGACATTTCTCTCTGCTAGTAAAATGGATGGGCAAGTGCGGTGCACACGGATGTTGCTTTTCATTTAAATCGAAGTTATTAATACTGTTTGGCGTGGATAATAGGGTGAGTATTATTTTACAAAAATGATAGAGGCCTTAAAAATTTTATTAAAAATTTTATCAAATGTCTTATATGGGTGTGAGATCTACATGGAATCCACATTATGTATAAGTTGAGAAAATTTGATTATTTAAAAATTAAAAAAAGGGAGAAATTCTATTTTCACACACCAAGTTTCCCTACTCCATACACTTGATAAATTTTTTCAGAATCACAATTTTATTCTTTAACAAAATTATCATCTCATCCACCACTATCCCACCCACACATCTCACAATTTCTACGTAATTCTACTGGATTTCACCCACATATTGCACAATTTCTCCATAATTCTACTGGATTTCACTCCCAACAACTTACCCATTGCCAACAAAGTCAAAGCGGAAGGCACTAATTCCTGCTTTCCCTAGAACAGAAGTAAGAATTACCATAGGAATGCGATCTTGAAAATCATAACAAAGGACAATCATCAAAAATAAAAATAAAACAACACCACAAATAGTTGCTATTCATGTTATCTGCTAAATCAAATCACAGCTCCAATTACAATTAACAACCTTTGAGGATCTAAATCCATGGCACAAGATTATAAGTTCTTTAGAACTTATTTCATGCAATATCCCCACAAGCTTGTCCTCATGGTTGCTCTGTATTATAACTCGCTGCTGTTGAATCACTGTCGAGATGCAGCAAAATAAAAATAAAAATGATGCAATGCTTAAATCAAAGAGATTACTATGATGAAAAGGCGGCAAGAGGATCCGAACTCGTTTTCACTTGACATTTCACATTAGCTCATACTCATTATAATATCGTATATGAAATATCACACCTATTCAGGAAATCAATTATCATAAAAGAAGATATGCACAGAGAATGTAAGGATATATTTGGAATGTGAAGTGTGTGGATTGAGATAAAGAAGTAAAAATCAAATTACTAAATGTGTAGATTAAGAAAAGATGTGTACAGAGATAATTTAGTGTGTGGAAATAGAATTTCCCAAAAAAGGGGTGCTTCTGATTTTAATTTTTTGATTATCAATTTTTAATTTATAATAAATTACGCCAAACATCCTCACTATATTGGAATAGATATTGTTTTTTTCATTAGTATTAGTATAGTATTTATTATTACAGATGTCGTTTTGAATTTATCGCAAAACTATTATATATATATATATTAAAAATATTATTTAGTAATAAATAATTTGATAATATATATCATAAATTATAAATTTATATGTAAAAGAGATTTAAAAGTAGGGAAATTTATTAGAGAGTTTTATTTTGAGAATTTAGGTATCATTTGGTTCCACGTTTTAAATGATTAATTGAGGAGTTTTTATTAGGTGTAGTGTGTGACCAGTAAGTGATAAATTCTATTTCCACACACCTAATTATCTCAATCCACATTATTTTTTAGTTCACACACTTTGTAATTTAATAATTAATTAGTTTTCTCAATCTACACACTAAATGTATTAATTATACCCTTCACTCAATCTTTGTATACACACACACTCAACCCTCTTCCACATACTTGTCCCTCATTCCACACATTGGTATGATTTGAAAATTTGTAGACCCACAAGTGAAGACCCATTGAAGAACACAGTCAAAATGAAGACCACATTGAAGAACCAAAGTCCTCGTTTTTTTAATCGATACTACTGATTGTGAGCTTTTGGCCGTAGTTTTCCAAAATTATGTATTTATTTCAAAAATTTACTTCCGAATAAAAGTGATTAGTTCGATAAATTTGTTCCAAAAAAAGAAAAAAGAAAAAAAAATTTAGCAGTTGATATCCGAATATAATGAAATAATTCAGCACTGGTTGTCCGACTCAAAACCGTGAAAGGAAAAAAAAAAATTACACAAAAAATCTAACATTTTCATCACTAATAGAGTATAAACTTAGATATTAAAACAATATGAGAGTTGTTATGAGAATATTGTTTTGCAAGCAATAAAGGAATATATAGTGTGTAGTAAGCAAAGCGATAACAATAGAAAAATTAGGATTTAGTTTTTCTTTACTCAAAATGTGTACATTGAGTTTTTTTTTTTTTTTATTTTAAAAGATGTGTACAGAGTATTTTCATATAATATTATGGTTGTTAATAGATGTCCATTATGGTAATTTTAGTTTAGAGTATAATTGTTATTAAAATAATATTTCATTAAGTGTGTGTACTGAGATAACTAGGTGTGAAAATAGAATTACTTCTAGTAAGTCCTTTTTCAAACGTGGATGTGTATTGGTTAGACAAATATACTCTCACTATTTAATTGGGAAAGTTTATTTATTTATTTTAAATGTGTGATAAGTATAATGTGATACTCTAATGTGACATATATTAATGTGACATTCTAATGATGAGACATTTCAAAAAAATTAAAAACTCGTTAGTGTACTTTTCTCAAATGTGACAACGTGGCAGGTATGATGTGAGACTCCAAAATTTTTACTCATCCTTAGTGTAATTTTTCCAAATGTAATAACGTGGTAGGTATGATGTGACACTCAAAAAAAAAAATCCTTAATATATTTTTTTCAAATGTAACAATGTGGCAGGTATATTGTGACATTCTAAAAAAAATTAAAAACTCCTTAGTGTAATTTTCCTATACGTGACATATGACACTCTAACGTGGCGGATTCAATTTGATTGAATTACTGCGCGTCTTCACGTCACACGTTAAAAAACAATTAGTAATGAATTCAAGTCTCACACTGCGCGTGTTAAAAATAAAGAAACTTTAAAGAGCTACTAATGCATTTTTCGAACAACGTGACACAAACACCCCACCTCTTTCCCATACATGACCACGCCACCTATCCCCCAACTGTACTAACAATGGCAAAATAGTCAACAAATAATTTAAGGGACCACTCAGTCACCAAAAAAATATTTAGGACCTTACGGATTACAAGTTTACAAAATAGGATTTACTGGTCAATTTTCCTTAAAAGTATATTATCTCTACTGAATAAAATAAATTAAGGTATTTCAAAGAAAGTATACAACATAAGTTTTTATAATTTTAATATTCTAAACCACAACCCAAAAAAAGAAAATTTTCTAGTATTTATCTAGTATTATATTTTTTGGCCGGTACCTTTCTGTATTGGTCGATATTTTAGGCGAAACGGAATTAGACTATGTAAGTATCGTTTTGCTTCTAAAATAATACGTACCAGTCGGTATGGTACAATATTAAAAACATTTATTTAAATTTGAATTAAAATTAGATAGCAGTACATGTTCTTTATAGAAGTTAGAAATTTTGAATTTCTTTAAATTTTTTTTTTTTCTTTTGGCTATTTGGATTTGAACTAAAATTAGATAGTAACATATGTTCTTCATTGAAGTTAGAGGTAATTACTTTCTAATGATCTAAAATTTCTTTCATTTTCTTTTTTTGGCACAAGATAGTAGTTAATATGTTAATAGTTAGATTATAATGCAAGCCAAGTCATTCCATAGACTCGAACTTGAAATCTCACTCACCTTAACATGTAAGTGTCATCTCCATAACTGCTTGACTACTTGAGCAATTGTCTGAGGTCTTCTAACACTTCGTTTTTGGGGATATAACCATAATGGTTGCTACTTTCTCTATCATGTTTTCTTTTTATGTACATGTTTATAGGAAACACTATGGTGCACACCATTTAAAAAGTTGTGCATCATATGCACCTTATAATTGAAAAAAAAAATGGCATAACTTTATACTTTTGAGTCATAACTATAAAAAAAATATCATAACTGAATACAGCATGAGACATAATTAAAGAACTCATAAGTCATAACTAAAAAAAAAATAGTCATAACTAAAGAAGAAAATGACACAACTAAGGATGAATATGGTGCCCCATTTTCAAAGGGTGTATATTAGAATTTTCATATGTTTATTGATATCGTGGTTTTATTTTGGAAATGTGGTTTGTAAAAGTTGTGTACATAATTTCTATAATTCTGTCTGAGATTTGCGCTATTTACGTAGAGGGGGTGTTTTGTGTGAGTTCCAGGATTAATCGAGATGCGTGTAAGTTGGCTTGAACATCCAGTGATAAAAAATAATAAATAAAAATTGTTAACCTTTTTACTTGCTGTTTTCACACTCTTCTCGCATGTCTGACATTTTTTATTATTTATTTATAAAGCTATGGTATTTTGGTGTGCTTCCAATAATATATAACTAGTAGTAACTATTATATAAATAGATAGCTGGCTAACAAATAAATCATATATACATATATTATTTTGATCAAAATAAATAAAAATAAAAATTGCATAAACTTCTTGTATTTGAGAGACAATTAAACATACAAAATATCTTAGATGTACTAATATATTCTTAACTTATGTTCAAAATGATTTGTTATAAAGTGCGTTGTTAAAATTAAACCATTGACTAAGATCCATACAAACTTACAACAAGAGTTGTCTATTTTCAGAGTCCATGGCAGGGGTAGGTTGACAATTTATTAAATTCTAGTTTTTATTTTATTTTTTATTTTTTTTCCTTTTTTAGTGAATTTGTCAGATATCGAATTATCAAAAAAAAAATTATTTTTTCAATCTTTCCTATAGTGTCATTCGAAAAGAAATCTAACATAGGCTTATAAAGTCCAACTCTAACTACATAGATAAATTTTGGGAGGAATGCTGAAAAGAGAGAAAAAGAACAAACAAGTTAGCAGTGTTGTTATTTTGGTCACCCAAAAAGGAAAAAATGTTGGGTTGCCCTTAAGGAGTAATGCATCCTTCGGAGGCAAACCGGTGTGAAGGAAAAAGCAACATTAAGAATGTATCAGAGTAAAATCAATTGATTCACTCATTGTCAATAGCATGTATCTTTGATTGATAATATATATAACTAAAAAAATCTCAACCAGTATTAATGTGCCTACCAATTTTAAAATTATAAATTATCA